ATTCGCGTATTACAGTCTGTAGTATACATAGGGAGGATCAGTTTTACTGGACGAGGTTATTACGACAAATTGTATAAATTGGATTATTTGGAGTTCCGCTACTTTCCTGTAGCTGGCAATGGTTTTCCTGGAAGTGTTGATGTGTTTGGCAGAGTCCCAAAACGTTCTTTATATATTTTGCATAAGCTATCTAGCTTGCATGGCGATAAATTACACAATGTTCAGGAAGTTTTCATTATTTGTTACACAACCAGGTATTTGTTATTTAAAGAAGTGTGATTCTTTTGTTCTTTGCTTGGCATAAAAAAACCTACTATAAACATGAATAAAATGAAATCTGGATTAGTTATTAAAGAGAGACCCCTGGATGAGTCAAGTACAACCAACTTCTTCCATCTTCCATACAGCATTGTCGTTTTCTAGAAACTTATCAGCAAACATTTCGCCCCTGAAAGTAGAAATTTGGCTCAAACGTACTCAACAATACTAAGCATCAACCATCAGTTAATAAAGTCATAAAATAAGGTAAAGTAAAGGGCTACACATGAGAACAAGGTAATGTTCTCATAGCTAATGTAAAACGTTACCCACAAGACAAGATAAGGTTTCTTAACTAAATTGAGGGGGTTATGCAAGGTAAGGTCTCACGTCTAAAGTAAGTGGTTATACATGAAGACATAATAAAATCTCGTAACTAAAGTAAGGGATTACACATGGAGAAAAGATAAAGTTTCATATAAATAGTAAGGTATTAAATAAAACTATAAGGTGAAGTCTCATAACTAAAGTAAGGAGTTACACATCAAATCAAGTCTCGTAAATAAGGGATTAAACACAAAGACAAGATAAAATATCATAATTAAAGTAAAGGGTTACAAATGAAGATGAGATAAAGTATCATCATTAAAGTAAGGGGTGAAACACGAAGACAAGGTAAAGTCTCATAACTAAAGTAAGATATTACACATGAAGACAAGATAAAGTATCATAATTAAAGTAAAGGGTTACAAATGAAGATGAGATAAGGTATCATCATTAAAGTAAGGGGTGAAACACGAAGACAAGGTAAAGTCTCATAACTAAAGTAAGATATTACACATGAAGACAAGATAAAGTATTATAACTAAAGTTAGCGGTTTCTCATGAAGGCGAGTTAAGATCTTACAACTAATGTAAGAGGTTACACGTAAAACCAAAATAAATTTCGTAATTAAAGTAAAGGGTTACACATAGAGAAAAGGTAAAGTCTCATAAATATAGCATGGAGTTAAACATGACTACAAATGAAGTCTCATAGCTAAAGTAAGATGTAACAAATGAAATCAAGATAAGGTCTCGTAATTAAAGTAAGAGGTTAAACATGAATACAACGTAAAGTCTCATAACTAGTGTAAGGGGTTATACATAAAGACAAGATAAGGTCTGTATTATGATAAGTACAGAATGAACAGACAGTTGTTCTGTTTGTAGTTAAGCACAAAGCTACACAAAGGGCTATCTGTGCTCTGCCCACCACGGGTATCGCTGTGCCACTGGGGGCTGAACAGACAAATAATTAAACCTTTATGTAAGTTGACAGATCAAACTTTGGCTTGTTTTGTATGATTATTTAAAAAGCTTATTATTTTACATGATAAGTTGAGGTACCCGTCCTTTGTCCGAGTTATGAACTTAAAAAAATGTGGGGATGGATGCTATGATAAATAACTCAAAAATCCTAACTTTCACACAATTTATATATAACATAACTTATTATTACAGTATTCATTATTACTTCACCAAAGGTTTTGTATAAGCTTTAAGAACTCAATATGTATATAGATAAAACATGATATACACTGTGCGATGATCGGAGTGGCTTTATAGGAAGAGGTAGCGGCTAAATTGGTGACGGTAGGGGTGCTTTCTGTTATCCGCTTTCAACGCCCACCTGTTAATGTCCTTTCAAAATGTTTCACATGATTAATTAATTAATGGTCGTTGGTTGCAGAAGTGTCTTACGGCCCGAAGTTGAAAAGTCACGGGTCAAAGTAGGAAGTGGATATAATTAAAAAAACTGCTCTTCATATCAGCCTTATGGTGGCTGTTGGAGAAGAAACGTCAGCTAAGTTTATATATTATTACAATGATGGCGGCCAATTTTTTTCATTGCATTCCTCCATAGAGAGTGCTAGCACTCTCAGAGATATATAAAACGTGTGTGTGCCCTCCTCCCACACTTTGTGTATGCTGTGTAATAGGAAATGTAATAATTTTTTGTGAAGGACGTGGCGCCATCTATGAATGTGATTAACGTAAACTTACGTCAAATATAATAAATGCTCAATAACAGCAATAATTGAGATGGAGGGGTTATGAACTCCCTTTAACATGCCTCTTGTTTCAAACTGTCATCCCACAAAATTTGGTTGAAATTGGCCCAGCGACCTGCGAGTAGTTAGGTAACGGACAAACAGACAGCCACACAGATTTTTGTGCTTTATATAAATAGATCTAAAAACTTGGGTAATGAGGCTATCGGGATAAGTATGACAGTCTCCCCGGTGGGTCAAAAGTATGTTTACGGACTTACAATATTAAAATCCGGGGTTCGATTCCCCGTGGTGGTTACAGTGCAGATAGCACATTGTGTAGCGTTGCACTAAGGAAACAACAACGTTTACTAAAAGGAACTGCTTATCTGCACAAAACATTTCTCCAGTTTGAAAATTGTTTGCCTCTAGAAAAGGTGGTGGCGATTTAAAAAAAATCATCGGTCGTAAGGAAAAGTCACCCATATCAAGAGCGAAAATAGACTTTTACACTTCTGTTATTTAGGATGTTTAAAAGGCAGTAGGAAAGTTTTTTTTTAATTTACAGCCCAGATTTTTATTCAACAAACAATAAAAGTTTCCAAAAGGCGGAAAATTTACTATGTCATATAACATATTTATGTTTAGAAAGATGTATTACCTTAGTCTATTCAGAGATCAAAAGTCTCTTGCCACGTACGAAACAATTTTGAATATCATCAAAATTATTTTGTTGTTTTTGTTACATAAGAAAATAATTTTTAAAGATTTTCTTACAGTTTGCCAAGATATATAATTAACAGACCTATTCCTCAACTTTTGTTTTATCGTCAAGCTATTTTTTTCACATATTTAGCCTTTTTAATTTCTGGTTTTATTAATTGTATTTATAAGATACATATGGGAACGGATCCAATTTCGAAGCTATACGTGGAAGGTGAGAAATACACGCAGTGGTTAGTTATTCTATTACAGTTTGCGGGAAAATAATTGTAGTCGAAAATGAAGAATTATTCGCATAGTTAAATGTAAGATTATAACAACAAGAAAAAGTATAGAGTCTTTGTTAATGTCATGTTCTACGTTAATATAATTCAGATAATGAAATATTATATAAAATAACATAGATCAATAAGCTGACTATACCATGTGCCAGAGTCTTATTATTTACCATAATAACATTACGATTGATAATGAAGCCTATGATTAAGCAATTAATTGCATTATTAGTTTGATATTCAGAATATTAATTTTTAACAATTACCTCATCAGTTAGGGAATCCTCAATAGCAGCGGCTGTAAGGTAAATAATTTATCTATCTCATGACTAGAAGAACAAATACAATTAAAAGGGAAACACAGTCTACCTTATGATTAGAAGAACAAAGATGATTGAAAGATAAATACAATCTACCATATTATTAGAATAACAAATACAATTAAAATGGCAACACAGTCTACCTTATGATTGCAAGAACAAAAATGATTGGAAGTGAAACACAACATACCTTATGACTAGAAGAAAAAAGATGATTGAAATAGGAAAACAATCTATCTTATGATCAGAAGAATAAAAATGATTGAAAGGGGGAATACACTCAACCTTATGACTAAAAGAACAAAGATAATTTAAAGACAAACACAATGTACCTTATGAGTAGGAGAACAAACAGCTACAGTTATGACATTGTTGTTTGCATATGTTACCAGCAGTGGTAACTTCATTGCATAATGAGGCTTTCGCTTTATTTTTCGAATTGGAAAATTGTGTCTATGTAAATAAAAGCAATTTATCTAAATGTAAAGAAAGAGCCTGGCTTATCTTACTTAGTGATTTTACATATATTAATGGTGCAGCGACCTATTTTTTCATATACAGTATTTCATTTATACAGTTAATACAGCAATTTGATGAATTTCAAATGTCTTGGATGTAAATACGAATAATCTTTGGCTTATCTATTTAGATAATTCACGAATTCTAAAGAAGGAAGTTAAGCGAGGTAACAGATTCCTGTTCTTTGTTACTGAGGTTAAGAAAATTTAATGGCCATCTTCATGTAGGAGGTTCAGTAAAGTGGTTACCAACGAGTTAAGCAACATCTTGGGATTGAGTAGTAATTTGAGCAAAGCCTTCAGATGTTTTTCTCCTATATGAGTGGATATGAGAGAATTCTGTCCACACGTTTTGTGGAACTTTGTATTGACAGACTTAGTGTACTGTTTGATTCCATAAGTTAATTACAGCTATGTTGGATCTGTAGCAGCACGTTGAAAAATTGCGTGGTTCGGGGCCATATTTTCTCTGGTGTTGTTCAGTTATATGCTTTTTAACATCCTTAAATTTGGCGTTCTTTGTAGTTCGTAGAATGTGTTTCTGAACGGGTTTTGAGGCAACATTTGCCACGTAATATTTTTCTTAAGCAAGGCATCTTGCCAGAGCATAGGTCTCTGCAATATGAAAAGTATTTAAACTTTTGATCATTGTATTACCGATGAAACAAGAATTTCGGCTTTCTCAACGCCGCATCCTTTGTTTCAAAGTACAATTCGTTCAGCATTGAAACTAAGATGCTTTTTCAACTTGAGCACTGACTGTTGCTATGGTGATACCCGCGCTATATTTCTGAAAGCTCACGAGTACCATCTGATTGGCCAGGAAAATCAAGGATCGTAAAGTTGAGAGGTTTTAACAAGACTCTTGCGGGAGAGAGAGGCACTAACGCCTCTACTCGTGCAGCATTTGGGCACGCTAACTTCATTTAGATAGAGTGGGGATGTAACTGCTTGCAATTTCTTATTTATTGGCCGTATTTGCAACTTAGAGGCTAAATTATTTTAAATTCTATCGCTAGGCTACAATTACTCACAAGAGAAGAATAAGAGATAGCTGATGCTTTAACAAGCTTGGTAAGACAGTACGACAAATTATTAAACATAAGAAATAAAATAAAAACACAGTTAAATTATGAAAAATGTGTGCTTTGTTTAAACTTTAAATAAATGTTTTAAAAGATAATTTAACTCACATACGTTTTATATTCCATCTACGTACAGTAAAAAATCAGAGATATCCGAATTCCTGCAGCTTTTCCCATTTTCTGTACAATTTCCATCCGAAACTGCGGGCAATGGGACAACTAATTTAAGGTAAGTTTTCTTGTATAATTTCTATTATTTGTGGTTAATTAAATCGTGGGTTTTATACCTAAATTTTAACGTAAGGTACGATAATATTTGATCGCAATTGAATCTTATAAAATGTAAATATGCTTATATATACATGTAATTTGACAAAACAATTAATATGTAATCACATTGTATTCTTCGTTATTTCTTGTAAGCTATATCGCACTTTAAGTTTGTGGGTGACTTAATTTGCTATTCATCTCATTGCAGAAAAACAAATTTTAATTTAAAACTGCAAGAAACCAGAAACAACGATTTAAGCCTCCTTGAAGTATGAAGTTTCCTATAAATGGAATAAAATGTTGTGTACAAATAATTAAACGATAAATACGGAATATTTATGATTATTCGATGACTCATAAAATGTTTGAAACGTGAATCTTTACTATTGTGAAGTAGAGAAGTCTTTGTATTAACACAGTTTATATGGTTTGGTTTTAGGATTTTTGCGTAGGGCTATACCTAAAACGTTAACTGCAAATGGCCGTCCTAGGTTTTGAATTAGAAGACCGAACGCATAATGTATGACAAATGAAATTTCAGCATCAATCTTATAATGAACTTAGGAACCCAAAGTACAGAGGGCGTTTTTGCAGCAATGGGACGCGAACTGTGAATTCTCAGATTCAAAGTCGTCCGGGAACGTTATCCATTGGTCACTTCCTACTATAATATTTTATAAAACAGATATTTGTGCCAGCTATTAATGTTTAAAATAGTAGTGTATGTAAACTGAAGTAAGACGTAAGAAATTGACTAACTCTAGCACTTTCACATAAATTTAATTGTTTATTTAATAATAACGTACCCCGAGAGCGTACAATTAATTCATTAACTAAAAGGGTACAATTAGTTAATTGACTAAACAGCGTTCTAATACAGATATTTCAAAAGACACATTTAAAACCTTATCTACATAACATGAAAAACACGACCTTTGCAAGTAATTGGATTAAGAATGAATTACTCTGTTAATAAATCAATATATTTGTAACTATGCTTTATTCGAATTTAACTATTGAGTTAATATATATATATATATAGGATAGCATCATAATATCTTATTTGCTTTGTTTGTTTGTCTGTAATTAAGCACAAAGCTACACTATGGGCTATCTATGCTCTACCCACCACGGGAATCGAAAACTGGATTCTAGCGTTGTAAGTCCGCAGACATAACGCTGTGCCATTGGGAGTCTATATAATATATATATAAAGAAAATATTTTAAATTATTTTTTTGTTAAATTGTACTCCAGTAATGGCAGATTTCCAAGGTGAAAGTCTTGATGCGTATGATAATTGGCCTGAAATAAGAATTATGTATTTGTTTTATTTATATAAGCATTGTATGATGACATAATGTGCTCCAACAGGTTAATGTGCCTTATATAATCCCAAGTAATTCTCAGTTTCACTAAATGCACACTGGTAACAGAATGTTATTTTTATTTCACTGGATAAACATTTCTAATTATAAATGTTATTCGTATTATGTGTTGATGTGAATGAATCCATACGCGTTTATATACAACCGAATGGACCTTCTAAACGTAAGCCACGTCGAGATTTTTAAAAGATATCAGCCATTAAGCAGGAAATAAATACGTTTCTGTGAGATTTTTCTGCAGTTAGTTCGTGTGTGAAGCTTTCCATAAAAATCACCGGTTGAACATTTTATGAATAGTGAACACAGCGCAGGCAGAAACAACTCATATAGTTTTGCATAAATTCAGTGCACACTGCAAAATGTTTATAGACTAGAAGTAAAAGGTTAAAAAAATAATGAAGCTAACTCTACCGAAATGCTAAAATATACTGATTGCTTTCAACTAGCAAATATTTGTTTGTTTGTTTGTTATTGATTTCGCGCAAATTATTTTTTACATATCCCTCATGCTCATCTAAGCGATATTTTAAATTACGTCTTGTCTGACCAATGTAAATACTTCCACATTCATATTCTATTTTATATATTCCAGTTTTTTCAGTTAAACGTTGAACTTCTTACTTATTTTACTATATCTTCCTCATTGTCGGCCGAACTAATTTGATTAATTAATGCGATATGTTAAACATGCTAACTTCACTTTTCTCGCATATAGCTTTGACTTGTAAATGTAGTATATCAAAAGGGATGTCTTTAGGTGCGCGAATTGTGAAGCATGTAAGAAAACCAAGTTAAATAAAGTTATCTACGCCAGTGATACTCTACTTGTACGAAAGTGGTTTAGTTATAACATAAGAAAATCAACGTACAAGTTGAGTATCACTGTCGTAGATAACTTTATTTAACCAACTAAACCACTTTCGTACAAGTTGAGTATCACTATCGTAGATATCTTCATTTAACTTGATTTTCTTATGTTATAACTAAACCACTTTCGTACAAGTTGAGTGTCACTGTCGTAGATATCTTTATTTAACTTGATTTTCTTATGTTATAACTAAACCACTTTCGTAAGAGTTGAGTATCACTGTCGTAGATAATTTCATTTAACTTGATTTTCTCATGTTATAACTAAACCACTTTCGTACAAGTTGAGTATCACTGTCGTAGATAACTTTATTTAACTTGATTTTCTTATGTTATAACTAAACCACTTTCGTACAAGTAGAGTATCACTGGCGAAGATAACTTTATTTAACTTGATTTTCTTATGTTATAACTAAACCATTTTTAACATAAGAAAATCAAGTTATCTACGACAGTGATACTCTACTTGTACGAAGGTGGTTTTTACTTGTCAGTTTTGTTTTAGTTGACTTCTGTAGCTTTCGAAGAAAGACTGTCGTATTACTTCTTTCGATTTGGTTTTACTGCTTTGTGGTATTAAACTCAAAGAAATAAATAGACAAAGTTCTTTTGACACATGAAATGTCTGTGACATGTCTGGCGAATATGTTTCTTTGTTGGGACAGAAGGTTGATAAACCAACTACACAGCCATTATTTGTGTCCAAACTCACACGAGTCATTGAAACAATAGTAACTTGGGAGGAGTGAAACAGCCAAAGAGGAGATTTTTTTCCCTTCGGTTATTTCAATATTGTAATTTTAAGATTTTTCTTTACATCTAAGCAAATTCAGGCTTCAATACAGACTTATTTGTTTTTCAAAATGTTATATATGAACCTTCAAATTACAATTTATGCAAACCGTTCCTTATCGCTTAGGTCCACGTGGACTACAATCATTATATACATAAGAAATTACACTAAGTTTTTTCTAAATACTTTCATCTTTACACTTTACCACAATAATATTCAACACCATGAAGTTTTAAAATGTAATTTAAAAACCATAAAATGGGAGTAGTACGAAATAAACAAAAACGTATATCGATGAACTTCAACAATTACAAGTGTTTGTTTGTTTTTAATTAAGCACAGAGCTAGACAATGGGCTATCTGTGCTCTGCCCACCACGGGTATCGAAACCCGGATTCTAGCGTTGTAAGTCCGCAGACATACCACTGTACCACTAGGGGTCTACAACTATCACATGATGTCTTAGAATGTTCTTTTCACCAAAGTTGTCACTTTTTACATCCATCCCTACAAACGTCTTCCATTTATTTATGGCAGAACGTGCAACAACTATGGTTTCTCGTAATGTCGTTGTTTTTTTTTTTGGTGCCAAGTTACACAGTAAGCTATCCATGCTTTGCTCATTGCGGAGAATCGAACCCCAGATTTTAATATTGTAAGCCTGTAAACCTACCGTTGATTTACTGGGAGACTTCGTAATGTCAATCTGTAATTTTTCAATCGGTGTAGAATTTTTCTCCATTTTGTCACTATCCCCCCTTTTTTTATTAGTTTTGTTAAATTAATTATTTTCTTAAAATCTGAAGAAAAAAAGAGTCTGTTATGTGGCCTTCATTTATTCCAGTCAGAATCATGATGAATCACAAAACAAAAGCATTTGGGCATCATGCCCCTAACATGTCATAGAAAAAAATCAAATATGCATCTGTTTACTATCTTTTTAGTTGCGTAGCTCCTTGGCATTTAGTAAAAACAGTATTCACTCCATCTTTGATTCTGTTGTATTACAGTATCACGATTACTTTCTTGGTTGCTGTATTGTTGTCAGTTTCTGGCTGGTCAGGTGTAACACTTAGCACCACATCTACTTTTCCCTCATCTTGTCAATATAAAGATAGCACAGCAAAGTTACGGAAAGTACAAAAAGTTGAAAGGTCGGCAGCTTCCTTTATAGAGATAGTTTCAGATGGCAGTTCAACTATATATTTCTTACTGTGCAAAGAATTATTAATCGCATGTCCAACCATTTCTTGACCTCTTTCCAACTCATAAAGAAACTATGATAAGATACATTGTGTCTATCTACTGTTTTCTAATCCGTGGATCCTACCCTAGACGTCCCTTTCTCCTTGGATGTCTGTTTTCCCTTACTAAATAACACTATATATGTATGGCTGAGATAAAGTGCACGTGTCATGACCTTTTCCCTAGTTACATTCAAAACTTAATTGAACAAATTTATGAGCGATCTATGCCAATAAACTTGTCACCGCAACGTAGTTTGAAATTCAAGTTTTAATATTATGTTAGTTTCATACTTTTGATGGGAAATTCTTAAATATATTCTCAATCTTCACTCCCGTGTATCACCTAAAATTACCACGATCCGAATTGCCCATTTAGGTTCTCTTACTGCCTTTGACGTTAAAAACACACTTATAGAATAGATATCGCCAACAAATACTATAAATTTATATCGTCTAATCTGAAATACAAGCCAGAAAGTCAAACCCACATATTACGCCCTCTTATCATATACTATCTTCCAAAAAAGTCAGCAATTCTCTCTAGCATTTGTTATAAAATTATTTATAACAAATAGGAAGAGAAGATTTTCAGTTACTAATTTCTGTATAAAATTAGCCAGTTTTAATGAAAGCTTTTAAAGTATCAGCCGTACAGATTAATTGCA